TGGTCGACACAGTCAAAAGCCTTGCTGAGGTTACACAGCAAGACCGAGGTGAATTCAAGATTATAAAAAGAATCTATTATATATGAGACTAGGTCCAGCAGGATGGCCAGCACTGTATTCTTGCCTTCCCTAAAGCCAAATTGGCTGTTGGAAAAGTAGTTATTATTTTCAAAGAAGTCAACTATTTGTAGAGATATACATGTTTCAACTACCTTTGAAATTATTGGCAGTAGTGAAATTGGTCTATAGTTTTCAGGTAGTTGAGAGTTACCTTTTTTAAAAATGGGGGTTACAACAGCTCTTTTAAGAACTTGAGGGAATGTATTTTTTTGAAAGCATAGGTTTATCAGTTTAGTAAGAGGGCTTATTATAATATTTTTTACAGATTTAATAAGTTTTACATTCAGTCCATATATGGTTGGTGGAATATCTTTTACTAGATTATTTGCAATTTCTGCAAAATACTGACTAATAAGTTATCAGGAGAGAATGTATGATTTTCAGAACTTTTCTTATTTTTTGTAATACCCTGTTTGCAATTTATCATCTCCCAGACAGCACGCGACGGATTACTAGGTGTCTGAATGTAATTATTGTTAGACTAAAGTTTCAGCTCAAGCTGTCCGTATTTCGGCTTTATACCTTCTTCTAAGCTCTTAAGCTCTATATACATACATTTGAGAAATTTTTTCACTTTGATATTATTTACTGAGGTCATGTAAAAAACACAACTGTTCACGCATTAATGTTTTCAATTCTTCATTAAACCAATTTATTTTTTGTGGCTTATTTGATTTAGCTTTATAGATTTTTTCTGGAAAAGAGTCCAAGTAAGCTTTCTCAAGCATATTCATGAAGTCAGCGAAATTATCATCAACATTCATATTAGTCTCATTCACAAAATCGCAATCTGCCTATCACTTATTTTATTGTGAAACTGAAACTTAGGTACCCCTTTAGTGTTATAGGTCTAGACATTGTTATGTTTTCCATGTAAGGCTGTTTCTTCGTTTCTGCTATGAAATCAACCCGCTGACCTCGGTAATCAGAAAAACCCAAGTCAAAAACCTCAGCCAAATTAACCTCTGTATCTTGATCGAGAAAAATGTTGTTAAGACAGTTTTCACCTCTTGTAGCTTCAAATATTGTTTGTTTCATGTTGAAACTCTCCAGTACATTCCGCATTTGTAGGAAGTTGGTATGTTCACTGCCAAGTGCTATGTTGAAATCTCCTGCTAAAAAAGTTTGTTTGGTCGTGCCCAAGCGAGATAACATCCATTAAGTTTCAATAACATTTATGATATAACGTAGAGAGATTCATTTGATTGAGTTCTTTTGTGATCCTAACGAGATTCACTGTTTGAACAAAATCGAGTTAGCGATTGTTATTTATCAAGTTCCAAATGAGATTGATAACGTTTCATGATTCAACAAGTTAATAAATAGGATGCCGTTCCACCGAGTTTGTAGAATTTCACTGTGATACAATTTCGAAACAAATTCAAAAGTATACTGATCAAAAGTCGTTGAGATTATTTTTCTTATGTTTCAATGAGTTTCTATTAAGTTTCAATAACAGTTATATCCTTTCAACGTACTAATAAGTAAAGGGATTTATTTGGTTCAATTCTTTTGTGATCTTAACGAGATTCAATGTTTCAACAAAATCGAGTAGGCGATTGTTATTTATCAAGTTCCAATAAGATTTATGACGTTTCATGATTCAACAAGTTGATAAATACGATGTCGTTTTAACGAGCTTGCGTAAAATTGTACTGTGTGGTTTCTGAACAAATTTAAAAGTATGCTGATCAAAAGTCGTTGAGATGATTTTTCTTAGGTTCCAATGAGTTTCTATTAAGTTTCAATAACATTTATGACGTTTCAACGGTACTCATAAGTAGAGGAGATTTATTTGATTTAGTTCTTTTGCGATTTTGACGAGATTCAAGTTTGAACAAAATCGAGTCAGCGATAGTTATTTATCAATTTCCAATGAGATTTATGAGGTTTCATGATCCTTTATCAATAGGATGTCGTTCCAACGAACTTGTAAAATTGTAGGTACTGTGGTACGGTTTCTAAACAAACTCAAAAGTATGCTGATCAAAAATCGTTGAAATGATTTTTCTTATGTTCCAATTCCAACGAGGAGTAAACCGCAAGGGAAATCCGGTATACAAATTTGGGATAATCAGGGGAAATGAAGAGGAAATCAAATGCAATCAGTGGAAATCAGGGGAAATCTTAAGGAAATCAGTGGAAATCTCAAGGAAATCCGGAGAAATCTTAAGAAAATCATAGGAAATCTCAAGGCGATTAGTCAATCTCTAGATCTAACGCATGCGCAGTTTTCAAAAATATTTAGAAATTGAGGTTATGTTACGTTTTCTTATGTCCATCATTTACAAAATAAAATTATAGATGCTCGGTTAACGGTTACGTGTGTTGTACCTACTTCATAAGTTGTAGCGCAGAGTGCAGATGTTGTCCTATTCCCACAGGTAAGTAACATTAAAAAAATTAAGCTTTTATATTGAATCTAGTATTGAATTAAGCAGACCCAATAAGAAGGCCAAGCTTGTGAAAAGTTGTTTAGGGTTACGAGGTCCATGTTATCGACATACTCTACAATAGTCAATTTTTCTATAAAATACATTCTACATAGAATTGACCAAATTCAAACTGTACACAATATAATGACAGATCTAAATCATGAGTTGTTTCCAAGAGAAAAAAAGCGGACAAATTCTCAGGCTGGTGAAAGATGGTTTTGAGCATATATCTCTGATGATCATGTTGAAAAAATTATTACTGAAGCCATGTCAGGCGCAATTAATCATATGGGAGGAATTGGGGATTTCAGTTATTGAAAATGCTGTCAACATCTTGTCAATTCCTTTAAGAAATATTGAGGAAAATGTGATAGATCCCCATGAAAATGACTCAGACTCAGAAAATGAAGACGATGACAATATAATAGATAAAAGACTAGACAATGGAATGCTAGAGAATACTGAAACCTCGACAGAAAGAGTCGTAAATGAATTAGAGATGGAATATGAGAAAAAAAAAATGCAGCCATTGAGGAAATACGAGCAGATATCTATAGGTAATATTTTAAATTCCGGGTCCTTTGGAGAACAACTTGAATTGAAGGATTTTTTCGAGGATTTGTTGAAACAGCAGAAAGATTTTTCATCGAAAGACAGTTCATTTTTACGGGTTACCCTATAAACAGTTATTAAAAAATCTTCACTGTGTTGGATGCTTGACGAAAAGGTTGGCAGAATAAGCACTGACCGGTTGAGAAGATTTATCAGTAACACAAAGGCGACAACTCCATCTTCAAATATCAGACCGACAAAGAGGTCTTCTAAGGTTCCTAATAAACCGAGTAACAAACGCAAGACCCGACTGAACAGCAAACGTGCCAAGACCAAAAAGTTTAAATCTCGGGTCAAATTTCAATCCAAAACCCGAGCCAAAACCCAAACAATTACTACGTTTTCATGAGGTTTTGAAATCGTTATGAATACGATTTTGGTATTGAAAATGATTTCAGTCTCAAGGTCGTTCCACCTTTTTTTGGGATCGAATCGAGATTCAAATTCAGAAACTTGCAATTCGATTTCAATTCTAATTTTGCCTCTGCATGAAAACGGGGAAGAGGATTGGATTCAAAACGATTTGAAAACTCCATCAAAACGTAATAAATATCTAAAAAGCGTAACATTGGTCGCGTTCCTAAGCACTCAACATGTTCAGTGATTAGTAAACGGCTTTGTTCCAGCTAGTGAAATACATAGCCGCTGACTAATCACTCAACATGTTGAGTCCTTAGGAACGCAACAATTGCCGACACAAAGGATTTCGAGTATTTAATTGAAACTTCAACTGACACACCGTCATCAAACGACAAACGACTCGAGTAATAATAGTTCTGGTCAACTTTGTGATAATGACAGCATGGACAATATTGATGGTGATAATATAGATTTTTACTCGAGACATCAACTTCAATAGTGAAAGCAGTGAAGTGAGCATCATATTATGTCAAGACGTTGGGAAATCAGAAACTTTGGTACCGATGTACTCATTGCGGGAAGTGGGCACATAATCAGTGCATGGATACTGACTCACCTACAAATTTTGTTTGTGATTTTTGCGTAGAGCAGAATTTATATTACTCGATAATAAATGTTAACATTTCGTGTTTTATTTTTTTTTAGTTTACTTTCATTTCCCCAAAAAATCAGTTTCTGTTTCTGCATAATATTTAAACAGAAATTAAAGTGGCCGAAGAGTAATCATTAGGGAAATTCTATAGAAATCAAAGGAAATCAGGGGTAATCTCACGGGTAATCAGAGGAAATCAGGGGAACTCCTGCGTAATCTTACGGGTAATCAGCAGATATCAGGGGAAATGATCCATGATTTCCCCTAAAACTGCAATCTGGTGTACAAAAACTGACCTGCGGTCTATCCCTCGAATTCCAATGAGTTTCTGTTATGTTTTAATAACATCTATGACATTCAAAGTACTCATAAGAGATTCGTTCGATTCAGTTGTTTTGTGATTCAATGTTTGAACAAAATCGAGTCAGCGATTGTATTTACCAAGTTCCAATGAGATTTATGACGTTTCATGATTCAACAAGTTTATAAATAGGATGTCGTCCCAACGAGCTTGTATAAAATTGTACTGTGGTACGGTTTTTAAACAAATTCAAAAGTATACTGATCAAAAGTCGTTGAGTGCTGAATCCTAGTCTTATATGACGCCACAACCAAAATTCGCTCTTTGTACTACTTCTACTTTGCGTACAGGTAGGTACCAAACTTAGGTTGGGTTTCTTTGCTTTCCTAGCCACACTGATGAGATAAGAAAAGTGAAGAAAATTAACCCAAAATTTTCACATCAGTGTATAATAGGAGGAAACTTGTTCTCCCTATTTTGGGTTTTCCCAACAAATTAATAACAAAATAAGAAATATACTCACAGCTAAAACAAAAACAAATTTATATAGAAAAAACTAACAATTTTATATTTATAAAAATAGACACAATTACAATTCCTGTAAGTTGTTCACGATTCATTCAAACTTATAATCCAACTTTCAACTGTAGACTTGTAGTTTGCCAACCAATTAATATTGTTCTGTACACTTTCAAGTGCAATCAGTCTCGAAGAAGCTCCTGCACCGGCGTTCGGATATTTCGCGAAAAATTCCTTCATCTAAAATTAAATTCAAATAAATCATGATTTTCAACTAAAAAAAAAATCTTACCTCAGTCACTCTTTGCTGTGTTGAAAACGTGGCAGTAACAGTCCTTATCATCGATCCTAAATATCTGTCATTCAAAGTAAACCGCTCTACCAAATACTCCCAGTTTTCTCTGACAAAGTCCCAGACCAAATCAGTGCCTACAGGATTTGAAGAAATGTATGCTAGGACAGTGAAATAGTCTTGGCCTCTTACAACTGATTCGTTTTTGGCTAATTCCAAAAGCCTACAATAATTGTATGTAAATACCAAGCCCAAGACTTCTGTAAAACTAACCTTTTTAGCAAAGAAACATCTTTCACATTGGCTAAACCATTAATCAACTTCAACTTCTCACTTGCATCGGTTTCGGACAAATAAACTTGCAATAATTTATTCCAAGTAGCTTCATCAGCATTCACCATACCTAAAAAAAAAAATTCATTATAAATAATAATTAATAATACATCAATATTGCACTAACCATATTTGTATACAATGCTTCGTAAATCCTGCGATAATGCTTCACTAGTGTCGTTAATCCAAGTATTAAATTTCTCTTGGGCTTGCGATAAGCATTCCGTATGATCTACTGTGCAAGCTAAACTCAAAACTACAATACGAGTCAGTCTGGAAACAAACAAATTAATATTGAAGCTTTTAATGCCAATTTCTCATACCTTCTTAAATGGCTATCATTATCTGCTTCAGTCCATGTAAAATCTTGATAAGCGTTTGATACAATATTACGAATGTAAGTCTAAAAAACTCAAAAATGAAACATCATATATAAAAAAGCATAATTATAAATTACTTTGAATGCTGTACTTTGGTTTGAATTGCTTAAATAAGTGTTGATTTTTTTCAGCTTCGAATGTGCTACAGTCCAAGGAGCGTAACTAGTTTCGTTGGTTAATTGTTGAGTCAAATCCAAAGCAATTCTGGAATAATAATAATAATTAATGCTTAAATTTTCAATAGTAGTAGGAGTTTACTTGTAAGATAACTGTCCAGCTTCTGCAATGCTGAAAGTTTCTTCCAAAAGGTGAGTTCTGTCCATAGTTTCCAAACTGTTGTAAATGTTTATGAGATTTTTCCATTCGGATTCTTCGTAGTTGACTCTGTAATAACCGATTTGGTCATAGTTGAATTTTAGCCAAGTTGAACCTTCTGGTCTTTGGACGGTTACTATAACAAGCATTTAATAATAAAATTGAAATTGATGCTTCAAAATGCTGCTTACTGCTTTCTTGGTTGTAGGGGAACAAAATCAGGCCTTGGGATTTTCCTAGGTTGCTGACATAATTCACAGGGATAGTCCATTTGTACCTGAAAAAAACTTTGCTGTGATGTCTGGATGACCAAAAATTAACTTTGATATTCTGGTTTAGTTCTAGCAAAAGACTTCAATGTTCGATAATTTCAATTTTGAAACTTCTCAGCTCAATTCTGTTGAAACTTTGAAACCAAATTAAAATCGTAATTAACGGTTTTGTAGATAATTTAATTGGCTTTAATTAGAGTTTAATTACATTGAAATAGGATAAAAATTAATTGAGCTTTGAGGCAAAAACTGTCTCAGTGTCATTTTTGGAAAATTTTCAATGTTCGATAATTTCAATTCTGAAGCTTCCCAGCTCAATTCTGTTGAAACGAAATTGAAATCATAATTGATTAACAGGTTTGTAGAGAATTTAATTGGCTTGAATTAGAGCTTAATTACATTGAAATCGGATGAGAATTGACATATGAGATATTCCATTTGTGAAGAGCAGGTGAAAGTATAATGACTCAGAATTTGATGGCCCCATAGTTACTTCAGAGAAAAATAATGGAAATGAAGGACTCAGAATTCCAAGCCCAAATATTCTGAGAGTTTTGTTTGAGAAATGCAATATTAACCAAAGTTCGGATGAAAATCAACAGAGCTGTGAAGCAAAAGCTGTCTCAATGTCAATTTCCTATGTTCGATAATTTCAATTTTGAAGCTTCTATTGGATTTCAAAGCCAAAGATATGAGATATTCCATTTGTTAAGAGCAGGTGAAAGTATAATGACTCAGAATTTGATGGCCCCAAAGTTACTTCATAGAAAAATAATGGAAATGAGGGACTCAGAATTCCAAGCCCAAATATTATGAGAGTTTTGTTTGAGAAACGCAATATTAACCAAAGTTCAGATGAAAATTAACAGAGCTGTGAAGCAAAAGCTGTCTCAGTGTCAATTTCCTATGTTCGATAATTTCAATTTTGAAGCTTCTATTGGATTTCAAAGCCAAAGATATGAGATATTCCATTTGTGAAGAGCAGGTGAAAGTATAATGACTCTGAATTTGATGGCCCCAAAGTTACTTCAGAGAAAAATAATGGAAATGAAGGACTCAGAATTCCAAGCCCAAATATTCTGAGAGTTTTGTTTGAGAAACGCAATATTAACCAAAGTTCAGATGAAAATTAACAAAGCTGTGAAGCAAAAGCTGTCTCAGTGTCAATTTCCTATGTTCGATAATTTCAATTTTGAAGCTTCTATTGGATTTCAAAGTCAAAGATATGAGATATGCCATTTGTGAAGAGCAGGTGAAAGTATAATGACTCAGAATTTGATGGCCCCAAAGTTACTTCATAGAAAAATAATGGAAATGAGGGACTCAGAATTCCAAGCCCAAATATTCTGAGAGTTTTGTTTGAGAAATGCAATGTTAACCAAAGTTTCTAAGAGTTGAGATGAACAAACGTAATAAGTTAGGATTCAGGAACGAAGTTTCTGAAAATTGTCTTTAAGAAAAACAATTTGATTTAAATTATATACCTACCCTTATCGCTTGGAAGAGCATGAAATTCTCTAGAAACTTAGTGAAATTTAGTATTGGTTTGTCATAAAGTTACTAACTCAAACCTACCATAAAGAGTCCACCAGGTTTCAGTAGTTTAACAAAGAAGAAGAAATTTATAATTCTAAAATAAATCCTTTGCATAATAATTATGTTAATTAATACACAGAGTATGAATATCAGATATTGCAGTCCCATGAAAAGTATTATTAAGAATCTATCGTACCAAATAACAACTTAAACTCAAAACCCATAATTACCCATAAGTAGTATTAGTCTCATAAATAGCTTTAGAATCAATCAAAAATCGCTTTTGAGTCAACGTATAGTTCCTTGATACAGCATCATAAGTAACACTGACAATCGGATATCCCATTTGTATAGTAAAAGTATCCATCATTTGTGTGACATCAAAAGTGGTACCAACAGCAGCTTGGATTTCATTCAAAAAATCTTGAGTCACCGCATTACCGTATTTATGTTTATTCAAGTAACTGGTTACACCTGTTTGGAAATTTGTTGCACCAACCGTGTCTTCTAACATTCTCAATATTGAAGCACCCTTAGAAAAAACTATAATAAGATTTTTGTTTTCAATAATTACAACCTCAATTACCTTGTTATATGAAATAGTATCAAAAATAGATGTAATTTCATCTGGAGTAGTAACTGTTACAACTATAGGATGTGAGGATAGAGTTGCATCCAAAGACAACACTGAGTGTAAGTCTGAAGTTTGAAATTGGGTCATCTAAAAATCAATTAACTAGTTATAACACAAAAAAAAAATATTAACTAAACTATACCATTTCCCAGTCTGGCTCAGCTGCATCAGTTCCTTTGAATTCAATATAACTAGCGAAACCTTCATTTAGCCAAAGATCGTTCCACCAATCCATTGTAACTAGAAAAATCATTACATAATAAAATAATCATAATACAACTGTGATAATAATCATATAGTTACCTAAATTTCCAAACCAACTATGAGCCAATTCATGTGCAACAACTGTAGCTACACGCTGTTTATTGGCTGTAGAGTGTGTAGTGTTTGTATATAATAGAGCTGTTTCTCTATAGGTGACCAAACCCCAATGTTCCATAGCTCCTGAGACAAAATCTGGAATAGCTACCATATCTGGAATTAAAGGCAATTATTAATTGAATTTATATTTTTATTGATGTTTGAAAGTACCTAGTTTTGGTAATGGATAAGGTATTCCAAAATATTTGACATAGTATTCAATGACTTTTTTGGCTACTTCTCCTGCATAGGTGGTTTTTTCTAAATTACCTGGACTAGCATAGACTCTTAATTCTGTCTGATTACCTATAAATAAAAAAAACTACTCAGAATTTGATTTATAAATCTCTAGAAACCTTACCATCATTATCAAAAGTAGTGTTGGTATAAGTAAAATCTGATACAATGAAGCATGTTAAATAAGTCGACATCGAAACAGTTTCTTGGAAAGTCACAAGATCATGACTATCATCATATGATGTGGTTTTCTAAAAATAATCTATAAACCTCACATAGCAAAAATCCAATATAAGCTTACTTCAACTGGATAGTTGGATAATGCAATATAGTTTTCATCTTTAGGTTTCAACAGGTGAACAATATATTTGGCTTTCATGTTAGGCTCGTCGAAGCATGGAAATGCTTGTCTCGCATAAGTCGGTTCAAACTTTGATGTGACCATTGTTCTGAAAACCAATAAACATTTTTTTACTATGAACGAGGCCGCAAAGCAACGTGCATGAAATACGCAAATCTAATTAGTGTGACTGTAAAGAATTCGATTACGAAATAATTAAGACAAAACCTACAGCCTGGTTTTGTATATAATTTGTTATCAGCATATTTTAATTTTGTATAAATTATGATGCGAGGTATGATGGATAGTTTGGCTATTGAAAGTTGGGAAATATAATATTTCAAGGGAATTTATACAGAGTGTGTCGTAATACTAAGCTCAGAAATAGTAGAAGTTAATAGTTAAATATGGTTTATTTCAAGAGGATGATTATAATTAAGTATAATAAATAACATATTCTTTTAAAGCTAAGTTAAGTGAGATAATTTAAAAGTTATTCCTTATTTGTTTCAATTTTTGTCCTTTCCAGGCTTTTGATTTTTCTTCATTTTTCGATTGCAGGTTCTGGAATTGTCATGTTGAAGCTACATTGAAACTATCAGGTATAGGGGTTTGTAAAGGATGGAATGGGCCCTAATTTGAGCCTGATTACGTTTAGATCGGATTGAAATTAACAAAGTTGTAAGGCAAAATGTATCTAATTTGGAAAAAAATCAATTTTCCAAAAAATGTAATTGAGGGATTATTGGATTGAAATGTTGAGAGTGGCTAAAAAATAGTTTCAAACGTGAGAAAAATAATCCTTCTGCTCCCTCTCTTTGATTTTACATAAGGTATCTACCTTAGTAGGTAGGTAACCTACTAAAATGATGAAATTTCAAATTTTTCTATGTTAAGATTTTGTGTCTAAATAAATGATCATTTCGGATCCCCCAATTTATACACTAAAATATTCTGAGATATGAAACCAAAATCTATGAAAGAGGGCACTCAGAAAATTGAAAAATGGATAAATTTACCCCAAATTGCATAACGCGATTTTATTTCTGGAACTATAATTCCAAATGAACTGAAGTTTTCAGGGATTATTGCCCTCCATTTGGATGAGAATCGCTGAAAATTTCAGCTTTCTATGTCCTGTTCACAATCCGATGTCCACAGGTGCAGGTAAATTTATCACATTTCCCTATCAAAAAGCATTGAAAGGTGATTTTACCTGTACCTACGTGGACATCGGATTATGAACGTTTAATATCTATAACAGAAAAAAAAGTTATGACCTTTTAAAGTTTTCACAAATCTGATTCATAAGGTGATGAAATTTCAAATTTCAAATGTTGAGATTTTGGGCCCTTATGATCATTCGAGAATAGCTCTTTACCTAACAAGTGCGGAAAAATATTTTTCCTACGAGCGTGCGCAAAGTAGTACTTTTCCGCACGCATTTCGGTTCTCAAAGTTGCACTTTTCCGCACTCAGTGCGGATACAGGCCTTATCCGCACTGAGTGCCGAAAAGTAAAAATAATTGTCAAGCAACAATAAGTGCACCTGTCGACGTTGACACATGATGACAAATTTTTCCTCTGTTTCTATATCAGCCAACATCTATACAAACACCAAATTTAATTAACTTTGACGCATTGTCAGATTTGTTCTCTATTGATATGCAAGAATTTACAAACTTTCTCATCAAATTTGAACGTTTTAAGATAAAGGGCTCTGACGATGATTTTCTGTTATTTTTTTTTTCTTCTTATGTAATTTTTTGATAACTGCATAGGTTCGCTTCAAGTTAATTAAAAATAATTGAACAAATTATTGTTTTTTTTTTTTCTAAATTTTGGTTGTTACCTACCTGATATGAAGCTCGTAGGAAAAATTTAGTTCCTAACACGTGCGCAAAGTGTCTTTTCCGCACGTAACACTTATCCGAACTCCGCTTCGCGTCGTTCGTATAACTGTGTTTGCGTGCGGAAAAGTAACACTTTGCGCACTTGTTAGGAAAATAACTATTTTCTACGAGCGTGCATTTTTTATCACTTTCCCGCACGCATTTTAGTTCTGAAAATGTCACTTTCCCGCACTAGTGCGGGAAAGTGGCGTTCAGAAGTGTCAGTTTTGTTAATTAATCAAACATTTTATCAATTTTGTCTGCATACATTTTTGCTATTTTAATCCATATTAATCTAATTTGTGGATCTTTCAAAAATATTATATTTTTTTTTGACATTTTATACAGGTAAAGTTTTTTTAACGTTCCCATGACGCCGTGCGCGAAATGCTACTTTATATATATATGCTACTTGTATATATACTTGTATATATACTTGTATATATGCTTGTATATATAATTGTATATATACTTGTATATATACTTGTATATACATGTATATATACTTGTATATATACTTGTATATAAACTTGTATATATATACTTTGTATATATATATGTATTTTTCTTTGGAAGGCTTCCTATATATATTTATTATTCACAACCAACTGGTATGACATAAAAGTTTGTATGCACCACGGGTACTAATAGATATATAAACCCTCGGGCCAGAGGCACTCGGCTTTGTAAGACTGTCGCCTTCAGGGCATAATTATCTAGTTAGTACCCTTGATGCATAAATAACTATTGTAATTGAACCATTTCTTCAATAATATATCGCTTTGAATTTACTTAATTTTTATTTTTATATTTGAACGCGCTCGTAGAAAAAATAATGTTCCTTACTCATGCGGAAAGAGTCTTTCCCGCACTCGACTGCTTGCCCGAACTCCGCTTCGCGTCGTTCGGGTCAACGGCAGTCGCGTGCGGGAAAGTATCACTTTCCGCACTTGTTAGGAAAATAACTATTCCGCAAGTGTTAGGTACAATATTTTTCTTACAGGCGTAAGCATGTAGAATTTTTCTTTTTTTTTTGACAGCCGTGCGGTAAAATTTTTCCGCACTGACAGCCGTGCGGAAAAACTTTTTCCGCACTGATATGCGTGCGGTGAAAGTTTTACCGCATCGTGCAGAAAAAAACTCATTTTCCGCTGGATATCAGTGCGGAAAATTGATTTTTCCACATGGCTGTAGGAAAAAAAATTATTATCGTTAACATATTTCAAAGCCTACTATGATATTTTCAGATTTCACTCTAAGGAAGTAGATATGGAGCAACAGTCATATCCACTGACCAAAGGCATTTTGTAACAATCCACTGTCAAAAAATTTCAAATAAATAACGTCAAACAATAAATCTCTGAATTTAACTTTCATTTCCAGATTGCACCCTCTCGAAACAAGTAGGCTTTGAAAATCAAGGATAGTAAACCCAAAAAGGTTGTCTGGATTATTCATGAATCAAATTTGCTACAGATGACATCATCGGAATGTATAGAGCGTGCGGAAAAGTTTTATTTCAATTTATTTTTGTTTTTATTCCAGGCTCTTGAGTATAATGTTCTTTTCAGATTGAATTTTCTGGATGTTTTCAACAAGAATTCAAGAGCTAGGAATAGACAAAAGTTGAAAGGACAAAAATGTAAAATCAAAGGAAAAAGTGTAAAAAAGATGGCCGATAACATATTCCAACGCCTACTATGTTATATTCAAATTTAACTCTAAGAAAGTAGATGGAGTAACAGTCATTTCCACTGAGCAAAGGCATTTCCTAACAATTCACTGTCAAAGAAATTCAAATAAGTAACGACAAATGATAAAAAAATTCCTGCTCCTAGGTTACCTTTCATTTCCAGATTAGACACTCACCAAACAAGTAGGCTTTGAAAATCAAGGATAGTATAAGCCCAAAAAGCATATCTGGATTATTCATGACTCGAATTTGCTACAGATGACGTCATCGGAATGTAAGAGCGTGCGGAAAAGTTTCATTTGAATTTATTTTTGTTTTTATTCCAAGCTCTTGACTCTTGTGTATATTATTCTCTTCAGATTGAATTTTCTGGATCTTTTCAACAAGAATTCAAGAGCCAGGAATAGACAAAAGTTGAAAGGACAAAAATTTAAAATCAAAGGGAAAAGTTTAAAAGAAAATTACCGTTAACATATTCCAAAGCCTACTATGATGTATTCAGATTTCACTCTAATGCCTCATTCTCACTTGCGCGAAATTCGCTTTTTTTTGACACTGCCTCGACAATTTGATGTTTTATGCGTGTATCAAACGTCAAATTTTCGAAGCAATGTCAAAAAAGAGCGAATTTTGCCCAAGTGAGAATTAAGCTTAAGGAAGTAGATATGGAGCAACAGCCATATCCACTGACCAAAGGCATTTCCTAACAATCCACTGTCAAAGAATTTCAAATAAATAACGTCAAACAATAAATTTCTGAATTTAACTTCTATTTCCAGATTGCACCCTCTCGAAACAAGTAGGGCTTGAAAATCAAGGATAGTGAACCCAAAAAGGTTGTTTAGATTATTCATGAATCGAATTTGCTACTGAGGACGTCATCGGAATGTATAGAGCGTGCGGAAAAGTGCTTATTTGCGTTTCAAAGCTGCGGAAATTATTGATGTTGCATTGGAAACCATTTATTGAGGATTTGATTGACGATTGGCTTTAATTTGAGACTATACTTACTTTTTATTTAAATTTAATTTTTTTTTATTTCAGGCTCTTGTCTTGTGTATAATGTTCTTTTCAAATTGAATTTTCTGGATATTTTCAACAAAAAAATCAAGAGCCAGGAATAGACAAAAGTTGAAAGGACAAAAATGTAAAATGAAAGGGAAAAGTGTAAAAGAAAATGGCCGTTAACATATTACAAAGCCTACTAATGATATATTCAGATTTCACTCTAAGGAAGTAGATGGAGCAACAGTCATTTCTACTGACCAAAGGCTTCCCCTATAACAATCCACTGTCAAAGAATTTCAAATAAATAACGACTAACAATAAAGAATTCTCTGAATTTAACTTCCATTTCCAGATTTCACTTTCTCGAAACAAGTAGGTTTTGAAAATTAAGGATAGTACACTCGAAAAGGTTGTCTGGATTGTTCATGAATCGAATTTGTTCCAGATGACGTCATCGAAATGTACAGAACATGCGGAAAAGCGCACTTCACCGAACTTATTTGGGTTTGATAACGGCAAAAATTATGGATACTGATTCTCGAAATTAATTTTTTTTAATTCCAGGCCAGTTTTCTGACTGTTTTCAACCCATAAAATTTGCTCTGACTGGTCTGTGATTTCTGCAGAAACAGACCTATTATCTCTAACATATCCCAAAGCCTACTATGATATATACAGATGTCACTCTAAATAGCGAATTCTATTGGAAGGGTTATGCCTCATTCTCACTTGCGCAAAATTCGCCCTTTTTTGACATTGCTCCGAAAATGCGTGACGTTTGATACACGCATAAAACCTCAAATTGTCGAAGCAATATCAAAAAAGAGCGAATTTCGCGCAAGTGAGAATTAAGCTTTAATGCGCACTGAGTGTATTCATGTCTTTTTCTACCAGCTTGTATAAGGAAGAGATAAAAATACATTTCCACTGACTAGTGACCAAAGGCATTTCCTAACAATCTACTGTCAAAGCATTTCAAATAGATAACATCTAACAATAAAGAATTTTCTGAATTTAACTTTCATTTCCAGATTGCACACTCGCGAAACAAGTAGGCTTTGAAAATCAAGGATAGTAAACCCAAAAAGGTAGTCTGGATTATTCATGATTCGAATTTGCTACAGATGACGTCATCGGAATGTATAGAACGTGCGGAAAAGTTTTATTTCAATTTATTTTTGTTTTCATTCCAGGCTCTTGAGTCTTGTGTATAATATTCTTTTCAGATTGAATTTTCTGGATGTTTTCAACAAGAATTCAAGAGCCAGGAATAGACAAAAGTTTACAGGACAGAAATGTAAATTCGAAAAAAAAAAAATGTAAAAAAAAATGGCCGATAACATATTCCAAAGCCTACTATGATATAATCAGATTTCACTCTAAGAAAGTAAATGGAGCAAGAGTTTCAAATAAATAACGTCAAATAATAATGAATTTTCTTCTCAAGGTTAACTTTCATTTACTCTATTCCTTTTATACATCGAGTTACATCAAACGTGTCGCTCTAGACAGCTCCTGGAATCACTCCAAAACACACAATTCGGATATTATTATCATTCTCTAATATTAACATAACCTAAAGGGCTTCTTGCACCCATATCTTGCACCTCCCGCAAATTTGACTCGAGTGCTTGGGTACATTCAGGCGGTCCCAGCGGCTTAGTTCAGCTACTCAGCAGGAACTTTATTCTCGAAACAGGGGAGCAGCGCTCTCATTGGAACGAAGTTTCTGTCTTTGTCGTCCGGCATAATACTGACAATCGTTCTTATGAGAACGCTGTTCCTTGGTTTCGAGAATACAGTCCCTGCTAAGTGGCTGAGCTTAGCCGCTGGGACCGCCTGAATGTACCCATTAACGCATTTTTAAAAGGAACGTTCAAACTTTTGGCATTGAGCAGCAATTTCCAAATTACACACTCACGAAACAACAAACTTTGAAAATCAAGGATAGTGAACCCAAAAAAGTTGTCTGGATTATTCATAATCGAATTTGTACCAGATGACGTCATTGGAATGTAAAGAGCGTGCGGAAAAGTACATTAACCAGCACTTATTTGCCTTTCGTAGCTGCAAAATTACTAACTGCTAAAATAATATAATTAAAAATATTCGATATTAAAATTATAAATCAAATATTCGATTTTCAGGGATTGTAGTCCTCTACTAGAATAAAAAAACTACTGAAAATTTCAGCTTTCTATCTCTAATAGAAAAATAGTTATGATTTTTTAAAGTTTTATAAAATCAAAATCATAAGGTATTAGCTACCTTATGGTCGTTTCCACCAACTATTTTAGGGGAGCTTTAACGATAAGTAGGTGTTCCCTAAAATGACAGTTTTCCATGGAGAAATGTCAGTTGGAATACTTATCTTTAAGGCTTCCCTAAATTAGTTGGTGGAAACGGCCATTAGTACACTAATGGCCATTTCCACCAATTAGTTTAGGGAAGCCCTAACGATAAGTATTCTTTAAACTGACATTTCTCCATGTAAAAATGTCATTTTAGGGAATACTTATCGTTAAGGCTCTCCTAAAATAGTTGGTGGAAACGGCCATAATGGCTGTTTCCACTCAGTGGTTTCCACCGACTATTTTAGGGGAGCCTTTAATGATAAGTATTTCCTAAAATGACATTTTTACATGGAGAAATGTCAGTTTAGGGAATACTTATCGTTAAGACTCCCCTAAAATAGTCGGTGGAAACGGCCATAAAACGATGAAATTTCAAAATTATTTTTGTTGGGATTTTGTGTCTTAATGGTCCTTTGGGACTCCCCAAACTCCATACACTAAACTATTCTAAGATTTGGAGCCGGATTCTATGAAAAAAGGTACTCGGAAAATTGATAAATCCACCAATTTACCCCAAATTGCTTAACGCGATTTTATTTCTGAACCTGTAAGTCCAAATGAGCTGAAATTTTCAGGGATTGTAGTCCTCTACAAGAATAAGAATCGTTGAAAAGTTCAACTTTCTATCTCTAATAGAAAAAAAGTTATGATTTTTTAAAGTTTTTAAAAATCAAAATCATAAGGTATAGCTACCTACCTTAGTACCTACTTAAATGATGAAATTTCAAATTCTTTTATGTTGAGATTTTGGGTCTAAATGATCATTTGGGATACGTCCAAATGAGCTGAAATAAGAATCGCTGAAAATTTCAGCTTTCTATCTCTAATAGAAAAAAAGTTATGGGTTTTCAAAGTTTTTAACTGTCACATGATTTTCAAAGAAAATCTAAATTTCAGGTTTTATTGGAGCAGTTTTAATTAAAATAGTGTAGTGCTCGTCCTTTTGTTGCCTACTTTCATCCAAAGTTTTCTAGAGGAAAAAAATATCAAAGTTCCCACATTATTATAGGAAGTATTTATTATTGTTCTAATCCAACACACAATGAATGATCAATAATCATTTCCCATGATATAAAGAAACCCAGTAATTAAAAAGCTTAAGAATCAATTTCAGATTTCCGCAATAAATAAATAAAAGTTAAAACCTAATAAAATCATACCTCAATTTATTATCAAATTTATAATGACTTTTATAAATTCCTGCCAAACTTTTGCCTAAAGGCCCTCTATACTTTATCCCCAATGTATAATTTCCAGGGAAAATTTTCTCCTTTGGAGTGATTATCAACACTCCATACTTCAAATTTTCCGTTACACTGATAAGATCATAGTTTTTCCCTTTATCAGAATCAAGTACCACAGAAAATATTGTTTGTTTCTGACTATTCAAAAACAATTCACTTTTAGGATTGAATATTTCAAGCGAAATATTCACAAAACCATCGAAGTAATTTTGATCCAAAAACGGCAATAAAGTCAAGTTGTACAAACTCGGTCTAGTATCGTTTGCCAGTCTCCTATACCGTTTTTCACTTATTTTCATAACACTGCTCAAATCACTATAGGGCTTCAATTTTTCTATTGGCACACTATTATACAACAAATGTCTACCGACAAACACTAAAACAGTCACTAAAATAGCGCATAACAAAAACCAAAAAATGCAACAACTGAATAAGCACATGAGACACTTTTTCCCGTTCTTTTCGGCATGATTTTTATCAACGGCAGTACCTTGTCCGCAGCACGACATTATTACCAGAATGCAGTTAATAGTACCATGCTCACGTGAATATTGGCTAAAAAGGTTTCGTAACTTTGGGTAGGGGCTTTAAATAATTTACCGTAAACCTGGTAGAATTTATTGTACGAGAGCAAATAATTTATTTATAGTTGATATTATTGGCATTTGTAATTAACAATAATAATGGTGTGACGTGGGACGGTATTACAAATTACTTATGCAAATGATTAGTGGGTCAAAAAAAAATGCAATTGGATGTAGATTGATGTAATGTAATGCTAGACCGAGTAACTTAAATCCAAAAGACATTATCAATTCAGAATTGTAAATGAAACCACTTTCACAAAGTTTACTTTTACTTTCAGTTTACTTGATTTAAAAAAAAAAAAAATTCAGTATGTCGTTTATTATAGGATGAAAATCGGTTACATTGATGTTTTGCGATTATTTGAATGACAATACAAGATAATAATATGTATATAAAGTTGATTTTTAAGAATTTTTTGTATAGTGATGTTTCTCACTGTATCAATTTCAAATTCCATTTAAATGAGCTCCCATTCTTCCTCTTTTCTTCCAGAAAATTTCAAAATTATTCCCGCAACAGTTTTCCAGACAAAATATGAAATATGCAACCGTGTTTTTTGTAAAAAAATCTAGTTTCTGGAAGTTGCTTTTCAAGAATTTTTTGAATTGATGTTTTTCACTTAATCAATTTGAAATTTCACCTAAATGACCTTCCATTCTTCTTATTTTTATCCAGAAAATTTCAAAATTATTCCTGCAACAATTTTCCAGAAAAAAAATGAAATATGCGAGAGTGTTTTTTGTAAATCCTAGTTTCCAGGAGTTGATTTTCAAGTATTTTTCATGTTAATGTTTTTCACTGATTTAATTTGGAATTTCACTCAAATCAGTTTCCATTCTTCCTCTTTTCATCCAGAAAATTTCAAAATTATTCCCGCAACAGTTTCCCAGAAAAAAAAATTAAATTTGTGAGAGTGTCTTCTGTAAAATCTAGTTGATTTCCAAGAATTTTTCGAACTGATGTTTTTCACTGAATTAAATTGAAATTTCACTTAAATGAGCTCCCATTCTTCCTCTTTTCATCCAGAAAATTTCAAAATTATTCCTGCAACAGTTTTCTAGAAAAAAAAAATGAAATATGCAACCGTGTTTTTTGTAAAAAAAATCTAGTTTCTGGAAGTTGCTTTTCAAGAATTTTTCGAATTGATGTTTTTCACTTAATCAATTTGAAATTTCACCTAAATGACCTTCCATTCTTCTTATTTTTATCCAGAAAATTTCAAAATTATTCCTGCAACAGTTTTCCAGAAAAAAAATGAAATACTTATGCGAGAGTGTTTTTTGTAAATCCTAGTTTCCGGGAGTTGATTTTCAAGTATTTTTCATGTTAATGTTTTTCACTGATTTAATTTGGAATTTCACTCAAATCAGCTTCCATTCTTCCTCTTTTCATCCAGAAAATTTTAAAAATATTCCTGCAACAGTTTTCTAGAAAAAAAAATGAAATATGCAACCGTGTTTTTTGTAAAAAAATCTAGTTTCTGGAAGTTGCTTTTCAAGAATTTTTTGAATTGATGTTTTTCACTGAATCAATTTGAAATTTCACCTAAATGACCTTCCAATCTTCCTATTTTCATCCAGAAAATTTCAAAATTATTCCTGCAACAGTTTTCCAGAAAAAAAAAATGAAATATGCGAGAGTGTTTTCTGTAAGTCCTAGTTTTTGGGAGTTGATTTTCAAGTATTTTTCATGTTAATGTTTTTCACTGATTTAATTTGAAATTTCACTCAAATCAGCTTCCATTCTTCCTCTTTTCATCCAAAAAATTTCAAAATTATTCCTGCAACAGTTTTCCAGACAAAAAAATGAAATATGCAACCGTGTTTTTCGTAGAAAAATCTAGTTTCTGGAAGTTGCTTTTCAAGAATTTTTCGAATTGATGTTTTTCACTGAATCAATTTGAAATTTCACCTAAATGACCTTCCAATCTTCCTATTTTCATCCAGAAAATTTCAAAATTATTCCTGCAACAGTTTTCCAGAAAAAAAATGAAATACGCGAGAGTGTTTTTCGTAAATTCTAGTTTCTGGGAGTTGATTTTCAAGTATTTTTCGAATTGATGTTTTTCACTGATTCAATTTGAAATTTCACCTAAATGAGCTCCCGTTCTTTCTCTTTTCATCCAAAAAATTTCAAAATTATTCCTGTAACAGTTTTCCAGAAAAAAAAAATAAATTTGTAAGAGTGCCTTTTGTAAAATCTAGTTTCTGTAAGTTGATTTCTAAGAATTTTTCGTGTTGATGTCTTTCACTAAATCAATTTGAATTTCACTCAAATGAGCTCCCATTCTTCCTATTTTTATCCAGAAAATTTCAAAATTATTCCTGCAACAGTTTTCCAGAAATATTGAATATGCAAGAGTGTTTTCTGTAAAATCTAATTTCTGGCAGGTTGTATAAACCCAATTAACAATAAACAAGTCTATTCATTATATGTTAACTTTGTACTCTCATCAATTCCCAATCTATTTCTCACATCGCTGTGATTATAGCAAAGGTAAATGCGTACAAGCTGGAGAAAACTCAGCGAAAATTTTTCTTCTGCACATTCCAATGCTATTTTGTCTTTCTTTCGGTGTCAAAACAATATTTTCATCAGATTCATTTTCACCTTCTGGTAGACTGATTTGGTTCGTTATACAATGTACCTATAGTGTGTGATTCGAATCACAATTTTTCTGAGCTATTTGAATCATATTTAAATCAAATCCCACCCTGATTCAAACATACCAAACTTCAACGTGTACAATATCAAATAAAATAACTTAAAAATATCATTCCAGTATAGCTAGGTGAATTAGAAAAATAATCTTCAAGCATTGAAAATCTGAAAACACGGAAGAAGGTCTTTAAACTTATCTTCAATATTCCTTATAAGAAAATAAGGTGACCTGCTCTAACAAGAGGTAGCTGAATCTCATGAGCTGGTTTTTCACAGAAATTGCTAATTCTTTCCTCAGACTAGCAAAATGACAAACATGTATGAGCAACGAGCAACTACTATAAAGTTAAATTAATTTTTGCATAGTTTATTATGGCTTATTATTCTTGTTATCTTTATTGCATATTTATGATTATTATAATTGTAATCAAAAAATCACTTACGTCACTTTTCCTTGATTAGTATAACTACTAGTATAAAGCCCCACGATCCTATTTTTCATATCGCCATTAAATTCAATCGACAATGTATCAAACAATGTAGTAAATTTCAATCCATTCTTCCTAGTGATGGTCACTATTTCGTACAACTTTTCTACATCAAAATTTGCTTGTTCCCCTTTCACAGAGACACTAGTGATGTTTAGACCATTAGTGTGCAGCACTATAGTGTCGGTGGGTTCAGAAATTTGCAATGATACGATAACTGTGCCATTGAAAAGACCTAGAAATTTTTTTTGTGGGTAGATTTTATTCGTTTTTAGTAGAGTTACAGATGCATTACCTGTAGCAAAATCTGGATACAAAAATAAATCATACAAAGTAGGCTTAACTGTAGTTGGTAATCTATACTTTGAAACATCTACAGTAGGTGTTTTTGTAGTCGAAGGCATTGTTGTAGATGTTGTAGTAGTATCTGGAAAATAAATTTAATTATTATAATTTGAAATACATATCTTGTTGAAGTTTTCCCGAAATTTGTTACCTGTATTATTATCTCTTTCATTTAATTCTGTTTTTAAACGGGCTACATTAACGCCTAAACTAATTGTAGATATACAAAAAGCTACACTTGCAATCAGGAAAAAGGTTAATAATTTGTTAGCTAAAATTACACTTAAGATGCTCATTTTTTTTTTAAAACACTGTGATTGTCTTTTTCAATCAATGTTCAAGCAATGAATATTATAAATCAAACAGAGATTTTATATCTTTACTATATGGAACATTTATTATCAAGTTTAATTGTTGATAATATGTTTTATGAATCAAGATAAAAGGGATTGGAAATGTTAAGCCTTTTATTTGTATTTTGCAATTTAACTTTATCATCATTATGGGGTGACATTAAATAAAAAATTCATCAATATCTGTCTAGGAAAAAAACCCTTGGATTTGATTTTCTATTCTCTACCATGTGCCCTCTTTTTCATTTTCTTTTCTTTCCTTCTTTTCTCTATTTTTCCACCTCCTTCTTCTCTTTCTTCGTCTTACAGTTTAAGTATCAAGTGCGTTACTTGATTTTCATATTCATAGATCTTAGATAAGCCTTTCTTAATATTTTATTTTAAGCAATTTTTTGGGGCCTCAACAGCACTCATGCTTGCGCGGGATGCTGCAAATATGGCCTATTATTCCCCACATTTATCTTAGTTAACTGTTTGGAATGTAATTTTTCTGGAGATAATAAATATTATTATTATTATTATTATTATTATATTATTATTATTTAAAACTGAAATTAAATAGGTTTTTCTAAGTGCCTATTGATTAAATTATTAGAGTTCCAAACAATATAACGACTTTTTCTATACTTAATCAAAGGAAAATAATCTGTAAATTATTGTAAATACTGAGACTTTAAAGAATATAAAAGAAATGCAGCAAGGAAGTATTAGAAGTGGTTGTGGAAAAAATTAAATAACAAGATAATAAAGGAGAATAATTTCTACCAAAGTTCAAAGACTTTACCTACAGTCATTCAAGTAGATAAATTTGAAAAAAAAACTCAAGTGCCTGGAATTAAACAAAAATTAAGAAAGAAAGTCTAAGCAATGGAGAAAGGAAACTTGACAGAAAATGAGTAGACATAGTTTTTCTATTCCAGATGCTTGAATTTTGTTCACTCTGAGAAATTTGCCAGGCCCTGTTTCGTATCCCAAAATGGCTGCTAGTGACGTCCCGACCATGAATTCCTTTATTACATGGGCTGTCACTCGCGCTAGCCTGCTGATTGCAGCCCCACTTAGAGTATGCCGAGGAGTATGCAACAGTAAGAGTTTCTTAGATTCATGGATCCTTAGCTTTTTGGTAATTATTGGTAGGTATTTCTTGGTAATTGATTTAGTAATTATTGGTATTTTTTTGGTAATTATTGGTATTGTTTTGGTAATTATTGTGGTAATTTCTGGTAATTATTGGTATTTTTTGGTATTATTTGGCAACTACTGGTATTTTTCTGGTAATTATTGGACTTTTTTTGGTATTTCTTGTAATTATTGGTATTTTTTTGAAGAAAGTGGTAATTTATTGTACACAATTTTGAGGGTGACTTACCCCTCGGTAATGACCAATGTGGATACAGGGACACTACGGTCCCCTGTTTGGGAATCGACCCACTGAGCAATGGATTCAGGCTTCCCGTGCCAATCCTTGACGCGTTTCGTCCTTATTAGGACTCATCAGAACGACATAGGCTGAAGCTCCCTGTCCAAGCAAAATTGAACTTTGTTGACCAGTTCATAGTTTTTCTATTTCAGGCTCTTAAATTTTGTTCACTGTGAGAAATTTGAATGAAACTCAAGAGCCTGGAATGATGAAAAATTGAAAAAGAAAACTCAAGCCATGGGGTCCATGGGGAGAAGAATCTTGAGAAAAAATTAGTAGACAAGTGGATAAATTTGAAGGAAACTCAAGTGCCTGGAATTAACGAAAAATTAAGAAAGAAAGTTTAAACAATGGAGAAAGGAAATTAGAGAGAAAATGACTAGACAAGTGAGTAGACATAGTTTTTCTATTCCAGGCTCCTGAATTTTGTTCACTCTACTTTAAAAAATTTGAATGAAACCTAAGAGCCTGGAATATTGAAAAATTGAAAAAGTAAACTTAAACCACGGAAAGAGGAATCTTGAAAAAAAATGAGTACTTAGGCATGGCATAAGTGGATGAATTTGAAAAACTTAAGTGCCTGGAATTAAACAAAAATTAAGAAAGAAAGTTTAAAGCAATGGAGAAAGGAAACTTAACAGAAAATGAGTAAACAAGTGAGTAAGACATAGTTTTTCTATGTTAGAAAGATTTTTTCAGGTAATGACCAACGTGAATACAGGAACACTACGGTCCCCTGTTTGGGAATCGACCCACTGAGCAATGGATTCAGGCTTCCCGCGCCAATCCTTGACGCGTTTCGTCCTTGTTAGGACTCATCAGAACGACATAGGCTGAAGCTCCCTGTCCAAGCAAAATTGAACTTTGTTGACCAGTTCATAGTTTTTCTATTTCAGGCTCTTAAATTTTGTTCACTGTGAGAAATTTGAATGAAACTCAAGAGCCTGGAATGATGAAAAATTGAATGGGGAGAAGAATCTTGAGAAAAAATTAGTAGTCAAGTGGATAAATTTGAAGGAAACTCAAGTGCCTGGAATTGACGAAAAATTAAGAAAGAAAGAAAGAAAGAAAGAATTTGCTTTATTGTCAGAAAATTTTACAATTTTGTGGACAAAGCTGAAAAAATAAAAAACAAAACATACAAATGCAAAAGCACAGACAAAACCAAACACTTGAACAAATAGTTCATGGTCAAAATTTGATTAAAACTAATAAACAAACATCTAGGTCTAACTGCTTATACTGTGCGAGTAAGCATACTATAGGTACTAAAAAAACAAACAAACAATAACTTATAATAACCTATCATGATACAGGAACAAAAACAAAACCTGTGAGTAAGCTGCTCAAAATTTAGAATTAGGAAACCATAAACAACTCGCTTACTGTGTACAAGGCTCTCCCCAGTAAATACACCTTCAAAGCCCTGCGAAATTCGAGAAAAGATGCAATGGACCTGATGTTAGGCCGTAGATGATTATGCATCTTTTTAGCATTATAAAGTATTGAACTTTTAACTAACTCTGAGCGCGGGATTGGCAGATAAAGATCCAACTCTGCGTTCCTCAGTGGATAATTGTGAGATGGCCTCTCTGAGATAGCTGATATTAAGTGCTTACGAATTAAGCAGACGGATTCGAAAATAAATAAAGATGGAAGAGTCAATATACTAGACTTGATAGACTTGATAAAAAATTCCCGGCAGTGAGTTCTACTACCAAGTCCCAAAGAATAACGAAGAGCTCTCTTCTGCAGTCTAAAAATGCGTTCAAATTGAGACGCACACAACACGTGCCCCAGAATGGAAGGGCGTAACGTAAATGCGACTCAAAAAGAGCATAATATACCATCCTGCAAGTTGCCGAGTTAAGCTCCCTGGAAACAGATCTCATTGCAAAACATGCCGAACTCAATTTCTTTGCTAAGGCGTCGATATGCAGGTCCCATTTTAGAGATTTATCAACAACAAGCCCCAGGAATTTCACGGAATCAACGGCCTCCATGGTATTCTTATCCAGTACTACAGATTGGAGCGAAGCTCTGTAAGATAAAACTTTGGTTTTAGAGAGGTTGAGGCACAGGAGATTTGAGTCACACCATGATTTGATGGTGATTAAGTCACTAGATACGGTTCTATGGAATTCCGTAATATCCGGGTTGCTCCAAGTGAAACTAGTATCGTCTGCGAAGAGACAAACTTTGCCGCTAATATCCAGACTAGCAATGTCGTTAATAAATAGCAGGAACAAAATAGGGCCAAGAACTGAACCCTGAGGCACACCACATTCAATTGGTTTACAAGAGGACATGGTCGAGTCCACCCTCACAAGCTGACTTCTGTTACCAAGATAAGACTTAAACCATTCGAGAGCCATTCCTCTGAAACCGTAGAACTGTAATTTGTTAATTAAGATATTATGATTAACACAGTCGAAAGCTTTGGAGAAATCACAGAAAATTGAGGCTGTAGAGTGGTGGCAGTTCAGGCTGGAGTAAACATTATTGAAAAGGGAAAACATTGCATCATTAGGACATTTGTTACTTAGGAAACCGAATTGACTGGTAGTTAGAATATTATATTTAGAGAGAAATGATAGAAGCCTCTTTTTAACCAATCTTTCTATGATCTTTGATAGCGTAGGAAGGAGTGCAATGGGGCGATAGTTTGAAGGTAGCTCCTTATCACCTCCCTTATGCAGTGGGATAATTATCGCCATCTTAAGACAGTTTGGAAAAGCTCCATTTAGAAACGACTTGTTGATCAGAGTAGTAAGATGTTTTAATGTGCAATCAGGAAGATTAGAGAACAAAGAAAGTTTAAACAATGGAGAAAGGAAATTAGAGAGAAAATGACTAGACAAGTGAGTAGACATAGTTTTTCTATTCCAGGCTCCTGAATTTTGTTCACTCTACTTTAAAAAATTTGAATGAAACTCAAGAGCCTGGAATATTGAAAAATTGAAAAAGTAAACTTAAGCCACGGAAAGAGGAATCTTGAGAAAAAATGAGTACTTAGGCATGGCATAAGTGGATGAATTTGAAAAACTTAAGTGCCTGGAATTAAACAAAAATTAAGAAAGAAAGTTTAAAGCAATGGAGAAAGGAAACTTGACAGAAAATGAGTAAACAAGTGAGTAAGACATAGTTTTTCTATACCAGGCTCTTAAATTTTGTCCACTCTGAGAAATTTGAATGAAACTCAAGAGCCTGGAATAATGAAGAATTGAGAAAGTAAAATTAAGCCATGGGGAGAAGAATCTTGAGAAAAAATGAGTAGACAAGTGGATAAATTTGAAGGAACCTCGAGTGCCTTAAATTAAATAAAAATTTAAAAAGAGAATCTAAGCAATAGAGAAAGGAAACTTGAGAAACAATGAATAGAAAAGTGGGTAGACATAATTTTTCTATTCCAGGCTCTTGAATTTTGTTCACTCTGAGAAATTTGAATAAACTCAAGATACTGAAATAATGAAAAATTGAAAAAGAAAAATTAAGCCATGGGGGGAGATAAATTTGAAAGAAACTCAAGTGCCTACTGGAATTAAACAAAAATTTTAAAAAAAAGTTTAGGTAATGGAGAAAGGAAACTTGAGAGAAAATGAGTAGACATACTTTTTCTATTCCAGGCTCTTGAATTCTGTTCACTCTGAGAAAATTGAATGAAACTCCAAGAGCCTGGAATATTGAAAAATTGAAAAAGAAAACTTAAGCCATGGGGAGAAGAATCTTGAGAAAAAATGAGTAGACAAGTGGATAAATTTGAAGGAACCTCAAGTGCCTTAAATTAAATAAAAATTTAAAAAGAGAATCTAAGCAATAGAGAAAGGAAACTTGAGAAAAAATGAATAGACATAGACAAGTGGGTAGGCATAGTTTTTCTATTCCAGGCTCTTGAATTTTGTTCACTCTGAGAAATTTGAATAAACACAAGATCCTGAAATAATGAAAAATTGAAAGAGAAAAATTAAGCCACGGGAGAGATAAATGTTGAGAAAAAATTAGTAGACAAGTAGATAAATTTGAAAGAAACTCAAGTGCCTACTGGAATTAAACAAAAATTAAGAAAGAAAGTTTAAGTAATGTAGAAAGGAAACTTGAGAGAAAATGAGTAGACA